AGACGCCGTTTAATAGGCAGCAATCACCCCAGGAGTGGGGAAGCCAAGTACGCTTGAAACATGGTTGCAATTCCTAATAGGTCTTGTCACACTTAAGGCACTGCAAGCTCCATCCAACGAACAGCTGAAGCTAGCTGGCGATTCATAAAGCCAACAGTTTAAAGTTTATTATGATGAAAGCACTTAATGACAGCCATCGCTAGGGGCCCATCATTTATAAAGCTGTGCTGGGTATTAGACATGTAGCATGACCACCAATTTTATGTCACAATTGCTACCATAAAATGACCTTTGGTGATTTTTGCTGCATGTGGTGGACAGCTCTTCCTTCACATTAGTGCTCTGTGGCTTTCTTTGCAGACTATTATGCTGTCTAAAGCTTATTTGGCACTGTCGTGAGCCTCAACCCTTGTTATTACCCCGAAGGCCTGTCTAAAAAAAAAAAAAAAATCTCATGCTCTATTACGCCACTCCAATAATTTACAGTTCTTACCAGCCTTGGGTTAGTGTAATATTTTAATGCAAATATGCTTTACCATTGCATTTTATGTTTTTAAAAAAGTTCCCATGCTTCTGGCTAGCAAAATATCCATTTTATGGGAATTCACTGAAATTGGCCTCTTATTCCCTGGTCAAGTCTCATTGAATGAGCACTGTTTCCTCTGGATTGGTTAAAACATCGCCAGGAAAAAAAAAAAAAAAAGGTTAATTAAACTTCCGTTGAGAGAGATTTTTTTTTTAAAGATCCTATGTGTGATAAACCCACCTAAGGCAGAAACACCGATTCTTATTTCTCTACATCCAGTCCCAATGCAAATTCACATCTGAGTAACATTATTTAATTAGGCTTCCATTTTTCTACCTTCTTTGTGTAGTTAGAAAGTGTTTGAATACCCAGCCACTTTACTGCTCCAATGTAAACCGCTGCTAAGAAAGTGGTCTGTCCGTGCTACACCACCTTTAAATTGTGTATATAATTTTACAAATGATATAAAATCTGCTTCTAGTCCCTGAAAATAAAAAAAAAAAAACAACCACAAGCATGGCACACTGCAATTTTGGAAGGATTTAAAATATGTGATTTCTGTTGGTACCTACTGTATTGGGTTTTATATAAAGCTTTTTTCAATAAGGTAAATTGTTACATGACAAACTCATCTTCCACCATTATCATCTGCTGTTTGTGTTTAACAACAGGAGTCCCGCTCTAACAAAACTGTTGTAATGGCTGTACAAATTACTCAGCTGAAAGCTTTTCACCAAACAAAACAGTATTAATCAGCAGTTCTTATGAAGGTGCTAATTAAAAACAATTTTCTTCCTCAGTTTGCAATACTAAAACCATCTTCACTTGCACAGTTTCCAATATACAGCTACTGTATTTGCTCACACTTCAGGCCCTCTATTAACTATTGAATCTCCTATTAGCCATTTTATTATTAATACATTTCTGTTTACAAGCTTGTTGACATTTTAAAAGTCACAGTATGATCTGTTTTATCTATTAAAAAATGTATTAATTGAAAAGCCCGGGGAACAAAAAAAAGGCAAAAATGCAGATTCCAAATGCACAGACTTCCAGGGCAGAGAACACAGGGAGCATTTAGCCACAGCCTGGGCAGTAAGCTCTCTGAATAAAATGAAATCTGAGAATTAAAAGTGGCATTTCAGGCTTAATGGTTTGTTAAACACTGATGGGCTCCTTCCTAATTTGAAAATAGTCCACTCAAGGGAATATATTTGCCCTGCCTAAAATCAGTTTGAGTTTCAAATCCATCTTTTCTCTATGGGATACATTCAGTGTAATTATGATGTTTCAGACAGTCTGAACTCAGGAGATTTTGATGTGGGGTGTGGGTGTACCTGGAATCTGGAAACTGGTGCCCAGATTGCTGGTCTCAACAGCTTCATCTCCCTGTGAGTGTGTGTACATGTATATGTTTCTATATAGACTTTGACTCTCTCCCCTGGGTGGGCATTCTGCCCCACCCCTAGAGGCAATGAAAGGGTCTTGCCAGACAATGCTACTGCATTGTCTGGCATAGATTGAAAACAAGTCAAATGCTGACTAAGCACAAAGACAAAGTCCATGGAAGCTGGGTTGAGGGAAGAGGACAGTCCGTTCCTATTTAAAAACAAAAAAAGCCCTAACCTTTACGAGAAGGTTTGCCCCACTTTGGCGGAGGAGGGAAAGAAAAAAACCACCACCACCTCCTGCCTATGGCATTAAAACCAGGTTCTTCAAGTGTCAAAAGCAGTTAACTAGTTTAGGACAGACACCTGGCTGTTGCAATAGGGCTCCAGAGGGCCACTAATCCTTCCATTCACTCGGTTAACTGCTGGATCCCCCAAATTGATTCAACAGGTATGCAGTGGTAAATTCAGCCCATACTGAAGCCAAAGGGAAAATCAGCAAGGGGCGGGCAGCTCTTCTCTGAAAACACCCGAGGAACCAGCCAGAAAAGCTTTTATGGCCCTGACAAGTTTTCTGCTGAATACTGAGCACCTAAATTACCCTTCCCTAATGGAAGTTACATTTTCATGCTCAGTCAAAAAGCCAACAAAATACACAATTTATACAAAATAGCATCAACCTCTTAGGTAGTCTTTTCTAGCATTTTTCTCCCAATTCACAGCATATGTCCTGCTATAAAATAAAATACATTTCTTATAACCAACTTGTATGTGGCTATTCATATCACCACGTTAGAAGTGACCATGGGTGATATTAGAAGCATTCTTTCATCCAACCAAATCTCCTTTGTATGACAAAGGAAAATCAAGAGTTTTATCAGAAGATACAGGTGTACAAAAACAAGGAATATCATAGTAATTCTTATGATTTCCTAAGCATGCAGGTTTCCTTTTGAAACAAACACATAAGTAATTACATGGACAATTACAGAATGGTCCATTCCAATTGCAATTATACAACCCACTACTAATCTATGGAAATAACCATAAAGTTCAAAAGAAATATTTGTAAATGTATAAACTTTTAAAACTGCAATATTTTTCTCTTCTCAAAATCAGCATTCTGTGAAACTTTGAGAAAATAAAAACTTTTAAATTATTCAATACTGGATGACATTAGTTTATTAAAAACCTTCAAAAAGCCTGGACTAGAGGTATTTCTAGATAAAGATCCCAGAGAGAACAGATTCATGAAACTCTTACATGTTATAGGAGATTCTCCAGGTTTTAAGCACATAATAAGTATATTCTTTTACTAGGTGTCTCTTGGTAGGAACAGTTCAATTCTGACACACACTTCTCAGACATTTTAAAAAAATGCATTACTGGTTTACTTTTAAAATATAATTTCTCCCAGAGAAATATTACACTGGATTTCTACCTCCACAACACACAAATGAAAATTGAATTCTTGCCAACTTATGTATTTTCATGAGAGAAAAAAAGAAATATTCTTATGGTCCTGCTGTTCTATATTTAAAAAGAAAAAAAGAGAATAGACCATCTTAGGTGCTACTACAAGGATGCGTTTTCTTTGTCTGGCAGATTAGTTGCAGGTTTTACAGAAGAAATAATTTTTGCTGTATTTTCACCAGTATAAATGGAACTACTTGTGTTGCCTTTTAAAACATGCCAAATTCTAATTTTTAAACAGGAAAATGTGAAGCCAGTGTGCAGCCCATACAGTCGCCAAAGGAGAGCTGCCACTAGCTGAACTACTCAGCTAAATGGCTGGTTTGCATTGCCCTGGTCTTTATCTAGCACTGAGAATAGACTGCTGTTTTATCCAAAGAGGAATAAATTGCTGTTATTGTGATGTTAGCCCATCACTTGGCATTGCAATTCAAGTTTTTGTGAGAAAGAAATGTATGATCTAACTGCGACTTGACCTATGCCTTCCGAGATCCATCTAGGTGCTCTAATGGAGCAGAAAAAGTGGTGAATACAAGGACATGCAAACTGATGGTGAAAAATTTGTTTGATGATAGAAGTGAGCAGAGAAGACATTTGAGAGTCACTGTTTTTATGACAGCTAAGTTTGTTTAACATGCAAAAGGAGGCACCTCCCTTGTCCCCCCACCTCTCAGTTTAATTGTGTCATACTGAATACATGCTTCGCCTCTACCAAAGATATAAGACTATATTGCTAACCTACTAATGACATTACTGCTAAAGTGGGCACAGATGATTCCTTACAGATAAACATCTGAATTTCCACAAAAGGCATTAGAGCATCTTGTGGATGCACTAGGCAAGGATATGCTTGGGTTCCCTGCAGAAAAGTCATTCTCTCTTAATCCTAGGTAGCACCTATTAAATGTTTACTATACACTTGAATCACAGCATATCACAATATATACTTATTTTAAATAAGATAATTGTGTGATTGAGTTTTGGTATTTTTTTTTTTTTTAAATTCCCCCTGGTTGCAATCTAGTTTATCAACCATTTATTCAAAATTTCTCTGGAAAGGACCTATTTTCAAAGAGGCCTGGAGAACAGCAGCAGTTAGATTTAAGCCCTGATAAAGGCTCACTTTTCATTCATAGTCAGAGCCTAAATGTGCTCTTCTTGTACCTAAACAGATAATAAGCACTCAGCACACTCCCCCTCCTTGACACAGCACACTGAGACTAATCACACATAATTGGGGAGGAGGAGCAGAGGGCTGGCCACGCTATTGTGTCCAGAGGACAAACGGTCAGTTTATGAGGCTTTGGGCTGATGTAGTCATTTCTTATACATCCATAGGGAAAAAAACATCCTGTTGAAATGGGAAAAAGAAAGAGAGAGACAGACAGAGACAGAGAAAAGAAACAGGAGATTTAATGCAATTAATTGGAGGGAGATATAAAGATGTGCTTTATTTATTTCTTTAACCAGGAAGGAATCATGATGTTTGCTCTATTTATAGATTAAAAACTATCACCACCAAAACAGAACAAAGACCAATTTTCTTAAGGGAGGGGGTGGGAATCACCAAAATAAATTCTGTCTCAATTAAAGGGAAAACTACTGAGGTGCTCACCAGTCAAATTCAGACCTCAGACAGGCGGCTTACACATATTTAGAGGCAAACAAAGGTCTGGTGCAGGAGGAAGAGCAACAAGCCAACTATAAAAAGAGGCAGTGAGGGAGCTGAGCAGGGATGGTGGGGAACAACGCTGGGAGGCCAGGACCCCACAACCCACATAGAGGGTGGGGGCTCAGTCCTGGGGGCTCAGGAATTGCAGGGAGCCAATGTCTGGCTGCATATTATACCCATTACAGATTTCTGGTTCTGTGAAAACATTCCCTGTGTCCTCGATGTCTTCTTCTTCTTTTGAGGAGCTTAATCTTCTATTCATTTTTGGTTAGAATGAGCAGAAGCGGGTAATGAAGATTTTCTTCGTATATATTTGGGTTTTCCTTTTTCAACTGAAAATAGTAACAGGAAAAAAAGGGAAGGAGACTTAGATTAGGAAATTTGTATCTGTTGTTATTGAGTTATAATGATGACTCTTTGCACAAACATATATAGTTCTGGAAAAATAAGAAAGAAGCAACTTACAGTAAGAGATAATCTTTTTTAGGGGGGATAGCGTATTTTTTTTTTTTTTATAAATACACTGCATGTGTGAGCTCTATGAACTGGGAGGCACTTGACTCAATAGACCAGCCATAAAGTGTAGAAATCTCTGCTCTCCTTCCCTCTGCCCCCAACCAGGGCCACAGTTGAGGCAGACAGGCATATCACATCACTGCTTGGAGCTGTGGCAATACCTGAACATGAGGAAAGGCTTGTAGGGCCTAAGACATTTCAAAGGCTCTCCAGGTGCTTCTGAGGTTTGAATTCAAAAATTCTTTTCTCTGAGGACAAGAGCATTGTCCAACACTTAGAGCAGCAACATTCCATACTGCTAAGGGGATGTTCTGAGGACTTTACTATGGTAAGATTTGAAAATCTAATCACCATCTTCAAATCTAAAATATACTTTTCCTTGTTTGGTTAGAAACAAGGAAAGTAATATTTATATTGAAAGAAAAGAATACTTATATTGATTCTAGCAAATAGTAATATGCTATCTATAGCATAATATTTATATGGATTCTAGCAAATAGTAATTTGCTATCTATAAAGACAACATTAATATTTTTAAAGTCGACATTTACAAGCTAGTGTCAGTTCGTGTTTAAATTATAAAGATCAGAAATAAAAATTTCTTTTAATTATATATGGAATCAATTTATTTACTGTTTTAAATCAGTCAAACATTCCCCCACCTCACTCTAATATGAAATAAATGGTTCTGCCATCTCACTTTTCTGGATTGGTCTGTCCGGGGCATGTTGACATGAATCTTTTAAAAAACGCATGTTTCTTCTAAATTACATTCCCCAATTGTGACGTGCCCTCACTAGTAAGGACAGAAACAATGAGCCTGCTTTTCCTTTCCCACTGGGGAACACAAAGCTAATTCAGTCTTTACTTCCTAACCCACCTTCCCAAGCACTGATGGTGGTACCATCACTGAAGTGATTCTACTTCTGTTTTCCTAGATGGAGTCTGTTCTGTTGACAGATGATCAGTTGTATATTTAGAAAGATACTCACGGATTTTTGTTACCACCCAAGTAGGGACGGTGTTAATTCTAAATACAGGTCTCTCAACCTCACTCTTTAATAATAACTTTTTTAAATGCTGAGAAAAGTCACCAACTTCCTAATACACATCCACTAACAGGGACTTACTAACTATAAATATCTTTGTTGCTAGTTGCCCTAGTGATAGAGGGAGCTCACTGAAATATTTTACAGAGGGAAGAGGGGGCCAAGCTAGCTAAATTCTTTCCTCGGGGATTGAGGATAAGGGAAAGTTGATTACTCAGCGTCAGTCAGCTGATCTACTCACTCATAATGCACTAATATACAGAGACTCAAATGAGCTCTTTATAAAGTCCCTGAGGTAATATGTGGGATAAATAATTCTTCTGTAAATATGGGTTGGAAATCACTTTTAACTTGGATTCCATGCTGACCTCTGGAGGCCAGAGCAGAGGCTCGTTGCTGGAAGGGGCCAGGGGCCAGCAGGGTCTTGACTGTGAGCCCTTCCTGCAATGGGGAAGAGCCAACAACCCTCAACGGCAACACTATAACCCCGCACCGGATTATTTCTCAATCCAGCCGGTCTGTTATGTGAAGGCACTTGAGTATATACAAAGCTGTTGGGAAATACTTTCTTCGTTGGGATATGTTATTAAGATTTAAGAACAATTCCACTTACTTAGGCTGTACTTCTTTGCCCAATTAACAATTATAGTTTTAACAAAAAAAAAAAAAGCACCTTGAAAGAAAAGAACAAAAGCAAATTGTGACTAAAACAATTTTTCAATTTCGTAGGTTAAAACAGGGTTTTTGAGGACTGAGCTAAATTATATAGCTGCTATTAGTAGCATTATGCTTTACTTCATAATTGGATATAACACGCTCAGCCTCACTACCGCGTGAACAGCAGCAGCGGGAGTGGAGTTCAGACTGTTTACCCTTTACAGTATCCACAATTATCAACAGCACACCACACAGATTATAAGCACCAGCCACTTGTAATGTGGCATTTTGAATAGATAAGCAGAAGTGCAATATGGCCGTGCTTTTAACACAATGTACTGACTTCACAGCGCAGCCCAACCCTATTTTCAGGGCTGCATACAAAAATACAGAGAATAAACAACCAAGGGAGGGCGGTTTTGCAAAAGTTAAAGTAAAAAACCCAAACCCATGGCATGTAAAATTATATTTCAAGGAACATTTGCATGAATGAGAGTATTTTTATTGACTAATTTCAAGCCAGCTGTAGTCTCTAAGTTTCATGTCTACCTGGCTAAACAATTTGCTGTCTTAACATCCTACCTAAAGGTTTTGAGCCACACCACAGGGCAATACATTTGATTCCCAGCCTGGAGGAGACCAAGACCCTTGGGGAAGGGAAGGAAGTGTTTCATTTTTTCTTCTCGTTGACTGGACGAACAGAAAGGCAATATTTTAAAAACATACTACACCTTTGGCTGCCTGGTTTCTGAGCACGCTGGCTGCATGGTGTGGGCACAGTTTAACAAAAGCACTGGCAGAAAAGTGCAGAATGGCACCGTTTTGATTACAGGCTTGCTTTTTAACGGAAATAAAATTTCACAGTTAACAATGAGAGGTGAAAAGTTTAAGAGGCAAAGCTGTTCCTCCTGATCACTGACTGTTAATCAGCTTCATGGGTGGTTGCCTAAATCTGTAGATTTTTTTTTTTTTACCTTGCACTACTGCCAAGATTGTAACTAATTTTTTTCCCCTGTTGTAAGAGGAGGGGTGAAAACTCGGCATCGAAGGCAGCTGTGTATGAGTGACGCGAGGCACTAATGCAGAGGGCAAAATTAAAATTCATGAATCTCTTCACAGCCATTTGTGTAACAAGATTAAGACGGGACAGCGGAAAAGAGCGGCATTATCAGGCGTCTTACAGTCCTCCAGCTGGTTACGCTCTATTCCAACACAGTAGGGCTAAGAGGATAACACGCAGCCTGAAGGAAAACGCCGCTTCTCCATTGGGGAGCAGCGCGTCCCAGGGACGAGGGGGCTTTGGCCAGGGACGGACAGGAAGAAAGCTGATTGCCGCTCAAGATGGAAAACTTTTAAGCCCTGGCTATTAGCACGCGGCCAACAAAAGCCGCCAGGGTGGAGAGTCGCGCCGGCAGCGCCGGCCCCTGTACGTCCTCGAGCTCCAGGCGGGCAGCGGCCGGAGGGCGCAGGGATGCTGCCGTGGGCTACCGCCCCGCGCCCCGCTGGCGCGCACTTGGGCCGAGCGAGGCTCAGGACGCTCCCTACTCGCTCCAGCTTGGCCAGCGGCTCACTGCCCGGCCTCTGGGCGAGATCCTTCTCCTGCAAAGGAGAACGACTCCCAACTCCCGACTCCTGGTGCGCGCTGGAGTGGAGTCGTGGCTGCTTGGCACACAGTATCCCGGCTGCCAGAGCAGGTGCACTAGGGACGAGGGGCGTTCTTTCGCTAGAAGCAGAACAGCAACCTAGCTGAAATAGTTCTTCCATTCACAATATACGTCACGGGCGCCCCTTTATGCCTTTTTACCCAGGGCATCACAACTCTGCAGAATATTCCCTAGGATTCTCTACATTCTCATCCCTTACCACAACCACCAAGATAATTTCTTAGTCCAGGGTCAGCAAAGGGTGGAATTGGACTTTTGGACAACTATGAAGAGAGGAAAACTAAGGGCACTTATTTTGTGGAAATTTATTTTTGTGGGACCAATCAATCAGCTGGGGATTATCTATAGAGGACTAGCTGGTCGGGTGCCGCATCCAAGTGCAGAGACCTTTGAAAGATGCCTGGAATGTGTGTGCTTAGTAGGGTAGTGTGCAATGTTGGGAATAAGAGCAGGGGCTGGCCACCAGGAGCTGACACTCTAAAGTTCCACACAGAGGAGAGGTGGGCATGCCCAGGACACATCCTTTCTTTCCTGGAGGAGTCTGAAGGTATCAGGCCCAAAGTCTAGCTTCTATGCTGGTGAAAAAACCAACCCTGCTCTCCAGAGCGGTCACTGAGAAACTAAAAGCATTTGTTGTTCAAGGAGGAAAGTGAATTGACATGACACACAGCCCTCAAACATCTGATTCCCTTGGCTCCAGCCAGACCTGGGAGAGAAGGGCACTGTAGGGTAGAGGAGCCCAGCGGGCCAAGAGAGACCCTCCCCCACCACCTCAGAACCATTTTTTGTTTGTTTGTTTGTTTTTTGTTCTCAGAGGAGTTGCAATGGGGAAACCATCTTTCTAGAGAAGGAGGTTAAGAGTTGAATCTCATGCCATTCTGTTTGTATTTTCTGATTGTGAGGTGTGGGACTGGGTCTGATTCCCGTATTGAGATCCTGTGATTAACTCTTTCAGTTCACAAAGCACTATTATTTTTCCCAGATGCCAAATGGAGCCTTGAATACAGAAAGAAATAAATCCATTTCAAGAAAGCGAGAATTTGCTTTCTCTTGCTTGGAAAATCTGATCCATTTTGCATATAATTTTTCAAAAGCTTACACACTGCTACATTATTTCATAGTTATGGGTAATAAAGAATGCAATTCACATTGTCCCAAGAGAAAATTGAGCTCAGGCCTTTACTTTTCTGCAGTTGCAACTTGTGAAATCCTGACAAGTTAAAGTCTCTTGCCAACGTCATGCTGCCTCAGTGAATGGAGATTTCTGTAAGGCACGAAATTACAGCAGTAATACATGTTATACTAGTCACTGTGACATATATTAGCAAATGGGAGGATCCTACAAAGTTTTCGGTGAAACACTTGCCTCTCAGTGTCCTATATTGCTCTATACCTATAAATAATAAAAAGGCTGATAACATTGCTTTATGTAAGCAGGCTTAGAAATCACTCTCAGATAAGTGCTTTTGACCTAAATCTTGTAGCGCCTCGATCTGACATATAACCCCACAACTGTGAAATTCTGTATGAGATTTAACAGTCTCAAACTGCCAACTGACCCAGCCATAAAGCAAGCAGAGATAAAGATTTACAGTCCAACATGATACAATTAGACATTCACCTTCTATTTATTTCAGTGCAGCTGAGCATTTAACCTACTTAAAAGCTGAAGGTTTTTCATTAAAATATAAATGCGTGTTTATCATTCATTCTATGCCACCTCCCCTTACATCCTGCAAATGAGTCTATTATGAATGAAAAGATTAGTTTGTTTCAGAGAAAGGAGTAAACAGGCATGGTTTCTGTAAAATCCTTCTAGACATGCAAAGATAAAAGATGGCTTTACCACACAAAATAATCAGATACAAATAGCTGTTCGGAAGCAACACACCTAAGGAGTACTTTAATCAAATATTTAGGTTACCTGCCAAAAAGACCATGATCTCTTCAAAATGCAATGCGGATTAAAGTGTTATCTAACACGAGCAGAAAACTAACCTTGGAGTGGAAGTTTGAAATGTGTTCATCATAATTTTCATGTCTTTGGATAGAGAAACCAGCTTTTTCAGCTAGATTGCAAAACTGGTTTAAAGTATTCCCTCGGCGTGGGGCAAATACCATTGCTGTCCCCTAGAACATTAAAAAGAAAATTCACACATTTTAAAATTGGAAGGCAACCAAACATAACAAACATTGGTCAAAGCATTTAAGATACTGCTCTCAGACAGAAAAACTCAATTGTTCTTGAGATTTCTACACAGGATGGGTAGTCACAGTGAGAATAATTTCTAGGATAGATATACATCAAAGAAGAAAAACAAAATTCACATTCAAATGTCCAGTTGCTATGTTTCATCCTTTTCAAACAATGCATTTAATAAAATATGGTTAAAAGTTGGTGTTCTGAATAACACCCACTGTGTGGGTCCAATGGCTTAAACTATCGACTAGGTTTTAGAGTAATTAGGCTAAGGTTGTTCTACTCACTTTGTGACCCATTAGCACCTGCCAACATACCCGCAACACAGCTCCAGAGCAGGTGGCACAAATGCTTATATATGTTACTTTATTGTGCCCTGAAAATTCAGTTCCAAGAAATCCTTCATAGAGACACATAACCACAATTCTCACTGGAGAGTTTTCACGTTTCAGTCCTGCACCAGCCGTTGCCTGTGACCTGCCATCAGAGACAAGCCTCCGGGATCTTTGGTTTCCGACTTCGCTGAGTCCCTCATCAGGGTCTCACAGCTCCTCATAGGACTCAAATGATTGCTTTGCAAAGAAAGTGGTATAATGAGGGTAAACAGGCTTTTCTAAGTAATCCACACAGTCGTATGAGGTTGTGGCAGTGGGCAGAATGGGAGGACTTTAATAAACTACTAAATGTCAGAGACTCTCAGACATAAAACCTCACAACAACAATTGGCTAACTACTGTGCATGCGTATCTTTCCTCCCTCTTCCAGATGTGTCCAGAGTGATCGGACTTCAGAATCTTTTTCTTTCTATTTTTTTTTTCTACAGATGGCTGTATGCTTCTGTTAATTGCATGATTATACTTCACCTCTATGAAATATGAGGTGAAACCACTTCAGATTTTGAGAGAATCAGGAAAATATACCCCAGTTTCTTATGAAAGATACCAACCATCCACTTCTTGAGCATCAGACCTGGGCCTGGGCATTCATATACACATCATCTCCTTTAGTCTCCAGACCACCCTATGTGCAGGTATCAATGGCTCTACCAGTAAGCGTTAGAAGCTCCAACACTGATGCTCTTCCCCCTACACTGTATTGTCTCCTCATTAGTAATAGTGATGACAATGATAATGGTAGTTGCCACAGTGCTGGATACTTCACAAACCCTCCCTTTCATCCCCTCAAGGATCCTCTCAACAACCTTGTGTGTTGCATTTTACAGATGATCAAATATGCACTGGAGGATGTGAAGAATACGAAGTAGAAGCAGGAACCGCATGGTAGAAAAGATTCTGCACTTAAAGGGAATCTCCACCGTGAAACAGCTGTGGCACTTAGAGACAATCAGGGATAAAACAATCACAGAACCTGTTGAGCTAGAAGGGACCTTGGAGATGACGTAGTCCAGCCTCATTTTATAAATGAGAACTGTAAGCCATTCTAGCGGATCCATTGGGTTTTCTCATCCATCAGATGGGAAAAACAAAGCTTGTCCTGCCTTTCTTTTCCCCCAGAATCAAATGAGGTGACGGATGTGAACAACATTGGAAAAACAAGGTTATACAGATGTAAGATTAAAAACTTCTCACCAACTAGCAGTGCTGTATAAATTCCATTCATTTTCTCCCCCTTCCCCTTCCGTTCCTCACTCACCTGGAAGGAAAACACATGGATGCACTGCCCTGGACATCAAGTGTGTTTTCCTACTGTGTTTACACAGACATGTACACACTCAGGCACATAATTATAGCAGCACCAATCATGCCGCTACACTTAAGGTTCTGTCTGCTTTTTCAATATTAATTGCTATTTTCAGGCAGTTTTCAAACTTAGCAGCAAAAATTCATTTTTACGTGAAACTAGATATAATACCTGGTCTCGGCAGGAGAGCAAAAGTCTCCATTAGAAAAAAAGAGGGACTGCTGGTAGGTCATTTTAGTCATTTCTAAGGGCTGGTTTGCCATTTCTGGATTTTTGAATAAGGCAGGTTGTTATATTTTAAAGTCATCTGCAAAAATTATCTTAACAGATCCACGCGAAGAGTTGGTTTTCAAGCCATCTGCTATGTACCGTCATGTTTCGGGTCTAGAGGTTTCTTGGATGGGCTGATACCTGCGTACAGAAAGCACCTGATTTCCACAGGCCCCCTCTTCATTGCTGGGAGTGAGCTGCGAGGGACTGCAACCCAGTTCGTGGCAGTGCTCTCAGCCCGAACATCTCTTTCCTCCCTCAGGTCTCAGTTTACCTGTCCTTCCCTAACCTCTCTGTCCCAAACAGTAGGCCCCTCTCCTTTGCTCGCAGCCCCCATCCGGCTTTATTTTTGTCCTTAGCACTTATCACCACTGCCACGCATTGTGTCTTGTTTGTTATGGCCCGTTCCTCTGGCTGGAGTGAACGCTCCATGACAACGGGATCTTCTAATGTTTTATTCACCACATTTTCTCAAAGCCTAGCATATAGGGAGCACTCGGTCAATATTTGTTGAGAGAATAAACTAAGCCCAGATGTTGAGTTATTTTAAAAATGTGAGTCTTTGGGAATCTGAAGGTCAGGTTCCATTGCTTATTCTTTTGAAGAGATTTTGTACAAGAAGCTTCTATGGAGTCAGCTGCTGTGATAGAGTTTCAGAGGGGAGCATTCTGCACACAATGCTGTACCCACAAGAAAGAGAGTGAGCAAGTGGCAGCTTGAATCTCGAAGGACTCGGCTACAAGTTTGATTTTTGTTTGCAGTTCATTGAATACAGATACCTTAGAGGTGTGGATTAATGTTCAGGATGGAAGACAGTACATCATCCACCTTAGTCAGTCACTGTCCGCTAAGGCCTTCTGAGTGCCATGTCCACCTCTCCCAGAATGAATGGTTTTAGAAGTACCTGGTACCCCAAGGAGAAAGAACCCATCATCTGTGATGCAGTCCAGACCAGAGGAATATGTCTTACAATTAGGCTACAAAAATCAAAACAAGAAAAAGAGTATAGATTTCCAATTAGCCCATCAGTTTAGAAAAATTATTTTCAATTTG